ATTTTGCAGCAGGTTGATTTGCGAGAAAACAAAATCAAGGCATCTTCCTCTCCCTGCAGATTCTGGAGGGTAGACATACAGGTTTTTTTTCTTTTTATTTACTTTATCTCCTCTCTTTCTGCAAGTGCTGCATTGAGTTACCTGTAGCTGACATGATGATACATGTTAAGTCATGTATCAATATATGAAACCACACATGAAAGTATGCTTTACTGACTGGCTAAAATTAAAGAAATTTGTAGCACTAGCCAAACTTAATTCAGGGAAACTTCTGGTGTGTGCATGGGCCATTAAATGGAGAATTGACTTTAGGGAAGTGAAGGTGTCCAAGGGAAGTGTCAGAGAAACTCTACATGATACATTCCTTTAAAAATGCTTCAGGATGTACATATTCCATAAAATACCCTGAGCTTGCCATAGCTGTCCCTTCTCCATCTGTTACTTTTAAGGAGCAGCACTTATGTGGGGAGATGTAGACTTATCTGCATGCTGCAGAGAAAACAATTATTTTGGCAAACACATTAACTGTGTCTGGCTTTAAAAATGTCTATTAAAGGCAATTTCTGGCAGTCTCTAGCACGTCCCTCTTCCTTTTTTTTTTTTTTTTTTTTAAAAAAAAAACCCTTTTGCCTATATTTTCTCCATGTTTTGTGAGAAACAGTTCTAGACCAAGTCTCATACAGCAATTGCCTTTTACAATTCCTTTATGTAGCAGGAGAACTATAGGAATGGTAGGAACTGCCTTTGTTGAGGCTTCCCTAAAGGAGCTGACTCTGGAGATACATATCCAGAATGGTGTGGCGATAATTTTAAAACTGCTTACTTGATCAAACGTTTGCATAGCTCCCTGATTTAGGAGGATAATTTCTAAAAAACAGCTAGTCTGCTTTAGAAACGCTAATTAAACACTTCTGCTGTGAGCCAATACTGATTTGCTAAGCTGAGAATTGCATGTGGCTGGGTGCCTCAGGGCTACTTGTAAATGTACTTTGCATTTAAAGCGCATTTTTGACCTGAGTGGTTCATGATTGTTGCTTGATTTAATCATTTATATAGGTAGGACATACCACTCCCTTTTGTAGAATTGAGGAAAACTAAGAAGTAAGGAACAGCAATATCAGTGTGAGTCTTCATTTCTGAAGGTTTGGTAAAATCCTGTGTGTCCAGCCAAACTGTCGCTGAAGGAGCAGATACGAGGTCTCAGCATGCCGCCTGTTTCTCTTAGTCCCTTCAGTGACTTATAATGCTCAAAACCTCAGTTCAAACATGTGAAATCATCATCATCAAAATTAGCTTTTTATTTTCTCTGTACTACTTGGTTAGAGTAAGGCAAATATTTACTGTCTCAGTGGCTAGTCAGATCTGCCCAGGTATCTTAGAGATCAGCAATTGAGGTCCATTGCTATATTTGGATATTACAGGTTCATGATACACAGAAATAATATGTCGTCAGCAGAAAATGTAAGGAAAAAAAAAAAAAGAGGAGCAGGCCAGTAAGAGTCATCATACGAATATTGCTGACCTGAGCAGAAAGTTAATTACTTCTTGATTCAAGTGATCTCCTTTGATTTTTTTTACCTGTCCCCCTTCTGAGGAGAGAAAAAGGAACCCCAAGTGTTGCAAACCTGTACAAAATGTATGGTTTTGGAGTGTCTCACATCTTATTTAAGGGCATTAGTAATCCAGATGAATAGACTAACCAGATCATTAGATCTTAGAGTGCAGTGGGATCATGATGCTTTGTGTGTTATGCTCTGGAAAAGCTTCCCATTGTACTGGGAGCTATTTGCACTCTTCAAAGAAAAAGTAATAGCAGTAGCAAGTGCAGAAACTCAGCTGTTGGCCACTTTTTGTTTAAATATAAATAGATTCTTAGGTTTGGGGATTTAAAAAAAAACTTTTGAAAACTTTTTTATTACTTCTTGTTCCAGTGTCCTTACCAGTACAATCCCAGTGTTTCTTTTAAGAGAGTCCAGGTACTTGACACTTCCTTATAGTGCATTTTATTTCCTTTCAAACCTGCCATAAACAAGGTGATATTATTCAGAAATACAAATTTGGGCAAAATTTTTGGAGATAGCTGAGAGATGGGCAGTAGCAGTGATGAGTCCAAGGCTGAACAGGAATGCTTTAATTGGGGCACAGTGCAATTGTGTCCCAGTGTTTTGTAGTGTGTTTTCCCCTGTCAAGTAAAACTCTGAAACTCTGTTGGTGTCATTGAAGAAAGGAAGGTGTTCTTTCAAGTAAACAGAAGATAAATCACTGAGTGGGTACCTCATCGAAATCCGCCTATAAGTTTATAGATGGCCACTGGAAATCACGGAGCATCAATGTCAAGGGCTATATTTGTCACAAACTGCTTAGTAACTGCTGAAAACGTTAGTGTCATTAATTTGATGGTGAATGTGATGGCAGATGAATCATTTATAGCATCATTAAAAAGGATAATTTCTTGTACCACCACAAAACCACCATCTGGTAAAATTTGCTGTGTAAAGCAGCTCATGGTCAGCTGAATATGTAATTTCTTCTCAGCAGATAATGTGTCTGTGTATGTTTGAATTGACTGAGACACAGGAATATAGCCGCGTTAGATACAGATAATGTGTCTGTGTATGTTTGAATTGACACAGGAATATAGCCGCGTTAGATCTTGTAATGACAACGCGATATAACTGACAGGATGAATGAGTTCTTACTACACAGACTCAGGATAGTTCCCTTTGCGTATGTGCAATTGCCCTGCAAAGCAAGAATTAAGACACTTGTGTAACCACGATTGTATGAAATGTGATGTTGCTGCCCAGTCATTCAGAGATCAATATGTATTTTTTCCCCTTCATATACTAGGAGGTGCTACTTGTTTTAGGAGTTCATCTCATTAAGGAAAGATGGAGGGGCACAAGGGTAGGCGGGGAGTGACTTTAACTTTCCGTTCACTCACTCAGGACTCGTTTGCTAGCAAGTAAGCTGTTACCAACAAGACGGACGATCTGGAGACATTGTGAAATATTCATGGATCGTCTTATTACTGTTTGCAGATGTTCCCATCACGTAAACAGCTAGTGTTACTTAGACCCGTTATTGACAACTCTTAGATCAGAGGCCAAAGCTGAAATGAGAGTAGAGTTCAGATTTTTTATTTTTTTTTTAAAAGGATGTGGGTGTGATGAAAGTGGTGAAGATTTTGCCTTTGTTTCTATTCTAGATGGAATGTCTGGCGTGATTATAAGTATCTAGTTTATTTGAAATACAACTTGAAATTCCTTTTACTATTTGATTAACAGCATTGCCTTAATATCTTCCAAATTTTCACTAAGCCCCGTGCTTTATAATGTGACATTCCCAGGAAACAGGAGGCATCATCTGTCAGAAGACAGGAAACATGCGATGATTAAATGTGTTTTATTGTTTTCTGTGAAACCGTGCCCAGTTCTCCCTCTTAATGTGGGCAGATGGAATTTTCAAGAGCTTTTGTTGTTATACTGAAAAGATTCAGTCCTCATTTTACGTACAATATTTGTGTATACAAAAAATCTTAACCCCCCCCAAATGATACTTAGTTTTAGATGATGAATTGTAAATTATTTATTTATTAGAGCTTGATTTGTTTCACGAAAACAAGTATCAAGATTTCTTCCTTTTAGTAGCGAGCACCGCTCCTAGAGCTTGTAATACCAATAACATTTTGTAGGGCAGGGGAAGATGCTGTACCAGAAATAGCAGCAATAACAATAATTGGTTTTTGCAATTTTGCTTTATTAAGACTTTAAATCACACAAGCGACAACTGTCCTGATGCCCAAATGAATTCTGTTTGAAACAGCATGGGTGCCACTTACCTAACCTTTACAGTCCTTCGTGTTTCTCAGCATATCAGGGTGAGTTATTGGAGCTGGAATGTGTAGCCCCTGCAGACTGTTCCTGTGTAACAGTTGCAGTCTCCTTCATGTAACTGAGCTTCAGGTTCTGGACGTTTGCATGTGCAGCTTAGAAAGTGAGAAAGTCTGGAGCTATCAGTGGCCTAGGGTCGTGTCGTGCGGTTCTGTGGGCCACACCAAGCCTCTGGCAGGCTCGTACAGTAGTAGTTAACTGTTGGGTACGTGACTGAAATCGCCAGGCTGAAAGTGGGGAGAGAAACCCTGGTGCAAATGGGAATGAAAAGAAACATCTACATGTTGCTTGGCAGTGTGAGCTGTTTTGTTCGCCTGCAGGAGAAAAGCAAACTGTGACTTCATGTAGACAGAACTTCCTGGGGAAAATAATTTTGGACCAAAAAAAAAAAAATTAAACCCTGTTATTCAGAGTATATGCAAAAAGGTTACTATGTCAGATAACCAATGATCATTCAGGCTTTGGTTCATTATGAATTACTTTTCTGATTAGTGATCCTTACCATCTATGCATGTGAGCTTATTTCCAGTTTCTGGATATTGCCGTGTTTTAGAAATAAGAATTTTTTTGCTGATCACAAAAGAATGTTGGAACGTGGGTGAGACAGCCTTGTATGATGGGGAGTTTGGACAATGGAGAGCTTAAATTAGGATTTACAACTGTCAGGCATAAGGCCACAGAAAACACCTTTTCAGCTGAAAACACATAGCTTACAGTCAAGTACGTGGTTATATTTAATCATAAACTGTCAGACTGTGATCCAGTTTAGCTGTGACCGGAGGGTCAGCATGGATAAAGGAACAGAGAGACCATGCTTTAGAGAGTGGCAAAGAAATTTGCCCTTACCAGTTTGTGCAACAGCAAAAATTAGATTGAATTTCATTGATTAATCACCTTGATTTCAAATTTTTTATTATTATTATTTTTCTAAATCTTGCTTGATGTGCCAGTTTCATTAAATACATTAATTGCTCGTGGTTTGCAGTGTTTCCTGAGTGGAAAATGCCTTCCTGTTTCTTGTGCCATCCAGCTGTTAGATCCCAACGTGTAGGTGAAACCAACCCTATGTGTGTGCTGATCTCTGTCCCTTCTGTGATTGGTTTAAAGGTGATGACACAATGACAGGAGATGGAGGAGAGTACCTCAGGCCAGAAGACCTCAGAGAACTAGGAGATGACTCTTTACCAAGCAGCCAGTTCTTAGATGGTATGAACTACCTAAGGTACAGCTTGGAAGGAGGGCGATCTGACAGGTACTCGCCTGTACACATATATTTTCTTATGATAATTCTGCACATGTTTTGTTTTAAATGCTTGAAATCCCTTGCTCGGGGGTCTTTAACTCAAGGGAGACATGGGATGCGCTTGTCAACATTTCTTTATTAGGTCTGTCAGTGTGGCACTTTGTAGGAGGAAGGTGTGGGCAGGAGGAATATTTCCTGACCAGTTCAGAAATGAATACATTTGGCACTAATGCTGTACTCAGAGTCTGGTGAGGAATTTGTTTGTGGTTCTTACTTGGTTCTGGAAAAGGCATAGCTTGCTTTATTGTCTTTGTGGTCGGGCAAAGGAAGAAGGGTCTAGCTGTCTATGGAAAGGGCTTATGAATCATCCCCATCTCCTCCTGTCGTGAGTCAGGGGATGGATGGATAGGTGGACAGGGTGTCTTAGCATTAGGTGAGCCCACTTTTTAGAGTAGTGTGCCAGCTACAGGTACAAGGAAGGGGAGCAGTGGACTTGGTCATCCCACATTGGATTGGCAGTGAGTATGTTGTCAGCAAGCACATTAACTCTTGATGAAACATGGCTTTCTAATCTGGAAGATTAGAAAGAGAAAAGAGAATAATTTTCCTTCTGCTGGCACAGCACAGTATTTATGTTGTAAATAAATAAAAAAAAAATTAGAAAAGAGAGTGTGTGTTCAGTCCAGAAAACTTGCTGATTTGCTTATATCTAACAAGTTGAACTTAAGTCTAGATGTATTTGTGGAATAATAATGCTTGTAGCTTTAATAATTGTTTTAATTGTTCTAGAAGTTTCACTATAGTCTACAAAAATACAGAGTTCCCTTTTCAAAATGAGAGCCTTTACTAGTGAGCACAAGTATAGACTCAAACTGGCAGATCAACACCCACAGTTCTAGTTTAGAATAGGCTCACCAGGAAGTCA